CAAAGCTAAAATTTCAATAAAATTATTTTCTTTTTTATCTTATACACTAATGAACCGGTCTTGGTTTGATTTTTATGGTTGACCGGTTGCTGGTTTGCTGTTGCCACTTTGCACTTTTTAGTATTATAAAAATCGAAATTAATTAACAATTTTTCGTAAAATGGAAAAAAGCCGGACATAAAGAAAAGCCGGCCGGACATTAACAAATTGCCAAAAAAGGAGGACATGTCCGGCTTTAGCCGGACGTCTGGCAACCCTAGATGACGTCATCAAAATGGCGGACCAAATTTTTAGCATGAAATTGGATTATCACTTGTAACTTTGTTAATATTTAACCGATTTTAAGTTTTAATAGCTCATTTTAAAGCTAGAATCATTTGCTAAAAAAACCTTTATTCAGGTTTTTTGTAGAAGGGGTATTTTTCACGCATCCCTTAAAATTGGAATAAATAAAAGAAAAATGACGGTTTTATTCTAAAGAAATTGAAACGTTAAAACAACAATTACGTTTTAATATTTAACTAATTAAGTTATTACGTATACTACTCTTAATTTTAACTATTTTTGCCCCCCTCCTCCCCCATCGACACATCCCCCCCCTTGCCTTGTCTCTGAAATGTTATAAATTTGTTTTCATAAGCAAAATAATAAAACTTTTTTTTGAAGAAACAAAATGTACATAAAATAAATATTTTTTAAATATTTATTTTTTTTACTCTCCCCACTTAAGTCTTTTTTTTTTGTTCCTGTTCACCCCTCAAACCTATATACACCTAAAAATTTATCAATATGTATAATGTATACCCATATAAAGTATTTTCCTAAAAATGACTTCGGAAGATACATTTCTCAAGCTAAAAATAACTTTTGCAAAAACATATTTCTTAATCAATAAAAATAAATCTAAGATAAATATTAAAGTAATACCTTAACACTAATTTTATTACTAAAAAATAGTAACTCTATGTACAATATTCCCAAACAAAAAAAACTTCCCGGGTACATGACATTTACAGAGCATTGTCCACCCCTCAAAGTTCCTCTGAATCCTCCTAAAAAACGAATAAATATGTTCCTAAAAATAAATTGAGAGGATACATTTTTAAACTAACAACATCACAACATTAACTTAACTTCATATTAAATATAATTAAAAATAGTAACTAATAATAATATGTACAATATTCCCGGCTTAGGCCCATTTAGGCTTATTTATTAGGTTTAGGTATTTTTGAGATCCCGTGAGGTGAGGTGAGCGTGAAAGTGACTTTTGTCTTTGTCGTAATATTCAATAATAAACAAAGACAAAAGTCACTTTCACGCTCACCTGACGAGATCCCAATAACACGGGCCTAGGTGAGGTCAGGTCAGGTCTGATATTTTTTCAAATTTTTGACAAAATACTGTTAAATCATTTGTTATCAATTTTTGGGAGAAGTCAATGGAATTTTCGGGGCTCGAGGGGATAAAAAGGGTCAGCGCGGGCTGAGAAAATTTATTAGAGGGAAGGAGTGGGAACAGTGGAAAAAGGGTAGGACTATTTTTTAGTTTTCTAAAATTATTAACAAACATTTAATAAATCCCAAAAAATGTTTTTTATTTTGCATGCAATACAAGAAAATTATTAGAGTTCAGTCGAACGTGGGTGCAGGGGGTGTGTTAGTGAAGGGAGGGACAAACAATAATTAAAATTACAGAACTATTTTATACTTAATATTTAATATCATTTGTTTTTGTTTTCTTTTTTGTACATAATTTGTTGACAATAAAGCTGTTAGTTTTTACTAATTACCACAATTTTAAGGGATGCGTTAAAACAACCCCCCCGACAAAAAAATTAATTTAAGTTTTTTTTTAGCAAATTATTCATCAAGCTTTAAAATGAGCTATTAAAATTTAAAATCGGTTAAAAAATAACTAAATTACTGGTTATAATCTAATTAATCGATAAATTTTTAGGTGTATATAGGTTTGAGGGGTGGACAGAATCAAAAAAAGAAAAGACTTAAATGGGGAGGGTAGAAAAAATAAATATTTATTTTATGTATATTTTGTTTCTTCACAAAAAAGTTTTATTATTTTGCTTATGAAAACAAATTTGTAACATTCCAGAGACAAGGCAAGGGCGGGGGGGATGCGTCGATGGGGGAGGGGGGGGGCGCAAAAAATAGTTAAAATTAAGAGTAGTATACGTAATAACTTAGCGTCCAGTGTAAAAGTAAAAGTGTTTTGGTGTATTGTGGTGATTTAGTGTTTTTATTTTGACGTAATAACTTAATTAGTTAAATACCTAGTGAAACCTAATTGTTGTTTTAACGTTTCAATTTGTTTAGAATAAAACCGTCATTTTTCATTTATTTATTCCAATCTTAAGGGATGCGTGAAAACTACCCCTCCTACAAAAAAACTGAATATAGTTTTTTTTAGCAAATTATTCAAGCTTTAAAATGAGCTATTAAAACTTAAAATCGGTTAAATATTAACAAAGTTACAAGTGATAATCCAATTTCATGCTAAAAATTTTGTCCGCCATTTTGTTGACGTTATCAAAGGATGATCCGGACATGCCAGAGATTGTTTCCCGGCAATTTTTGAAGCCCTATTATGTGTAGAAGCTGTGTACCAAATTTGGTGCTGGTGTCCAGCACTGAAATATTTTGGTGCTTTTTAAGGTCAACGCCACTGACTACACACCGGGAATACTATTTCCAGGAAAATGCCGTTTAACCATCGTAACTTTTTCAGAAATTGCGAAAATCATAATTATTTTATACCAGATTACTCTATTTGGTATCTTCAAATTCATTTAAAGAAAATGTGACATCGAATTTGACAATGACACAATTACATTTTTGCTAGTATTTAAATTGTAGCTTCCTCTGGGCCGTATTATAAATTTTACTAATTTGCAGATAGATTTTTGCAAACAACTTTTAAATAGTAATTACTTATTTCAAATGAAAGGAAATTTTCTCAAAAGTACAACTTGAACGCCTCATCAAAAAAGTCTAATACAACTTTGGCATAAAATCATCTGGGCAGATAATATCTGACCATTTCAAAATTAACATGGAACTTCCCGGGTTTCGATGCACTACACGGTATATCTACCAGGACTGAAAATATTTGCACTTATTTAAGACTCACCTTGTATAAGGAAACAAATAAATTTCCGAGAAAATTTAAATATATATTTGTTAACAAATGAGCAAAGCAATATTTATTTAGATCATTCTGTTTAAATCACGCGAAAATATAATTTTTCAGTACAGGCATTACGGGAAAAATATTTTTCGTCATACTATATTGTTATATTATTATAACATAAGCAAAATCAGAATGGAAAAGATGCATATAACGTCCGCCGGACGTTATCATAACGGCCGGCGGCCGTTAAGTTTCTAAGGTAATCGTAACGTCTGTCACCTGCAACAATGACTATTTATTGTCAGTTGGACTTTTCAAAAATTGGGAAAATAGACCATAGCGAGATGTCGCGAGAAATTCCGTTGGAAATACAGGAGGAAGCGGCTGCGGCTACTCAAAATTTACTTCCGACTATAACCAGAGAGAGATATCAGCAGGAATATGACAATTTTTTGAAGTGGCGGCAGGATAGAAGTATAAACAGCGTAAATGAAGCGGTATTGCTGGCTTATGCTAAAAGAATGTCTGAAATGTATTCTCCTACATCACTGTGGACAAAGATATCCATGCTGAAGCTTGCGTTGAGAGTATATGAAAACATCGACATATCAAGGTAAAAAGCCATTATATTCTTCGATATTTAATCATACTCATCTAAATTATATTTGTTCATAGATTTGGTAAACTGTTCATGTTTCTGAGGCGCAAAACGAAGGTTATTCACCAAAAAGCCAAAGTTCTGTCGGAGAATGACATAAATAATTTTCTACTGGATGCCGATGATTACACCTGGTTACTCGAAAAATTGTATTGGTGCTTGGTATTCTTGGAGCTTGTAGGCGCAGCGAGCTTTGGTCACTCACAGTTGATGATTTCGAAGATTCGAAGAAAAATATTCTTGTCTCATTAAGAAATACTAAAAATAAGAAAGATAGGAAATTTCTTATTCCAAAACGGGCCTTCCGTTTGATGCCTATGGTTTATACAAAAATACATCAACCTGCGTCCTCGTAACTTTGACAATCCAAAATTTTTCATTGGTTACAAGAAAGGCAAGTGTGTTAAGCAAATCGTCGGTATACATACCATCGGGAGCGTACCGCAGAAAATTGCAAAATTTTTGAACTTGGAGAATCCAGAACGTTATACAGGGCATTCATTTCGTAGATCATCAGCAACCATGCTCGCCGAAAATGGTGGTGATTTACTATCGCTAAAGGAGCTAGGAGGATGGGAGTCTTCAACAGTGGCAGAAACTTACATAGAAAATCAGTTTCCAAAAGAATGAAAATAACAAATCAACTTTTTCATGATAGCTCCAAAATAATGTGTCTTTAGTGGATACAAATATTTGCCATTCTTCAGTAGCATCATCTTCTTCTATAAAATCTGTAAATCCCTGGGAAGGATTACAGATTTCTAAGAACAACAAGTGCACTTTTAATTTCCATGTTCATTATCATGAAAAATGAATTTTAGTATAAGACATTATGTATTTTTTATCCTTACTTGTGTTATTGTTCAATAAAATTTGTTATTAAATAGTAGTGTTTATTGCTCTAAAAAATCTGCAGTATGACGAAAAATCTAGAACGCAACACGGCCGATAACAAATAACGGCCTTGGCTGCTTATGATCCTCGGCTATCGCCTCGGATCACAAACTTCAGCCCGGCCGTTATTTGTTGTTTATCGGCCTTATTACGTTAATAACTATAACAATATTAATTTAAATTCTTCAATTCCTCTACAAATCGCCCAAGCGGGCAACGTCGCTCTTCAGCGATGTGCTCTTTTCGGTCGCGCCGGCACACGTAAACACGAACGACCCCACCGTCGAATCAGCGTCGGCGGCGTCGAGCGTCGATCAGTTTCGTTTTTGCTCGCTTGTGAATGGTGTGTTTGGGTGTCATTTACGCACGGATTCGAATATTACGTCGGCTCTTGTTTGTTTTTTTCCAATCGCTCCCAACCCGGATACGAGGACCGGTGTTGTTTTTGTATATTTGAATTTGACTGACGAGGACCGATAGAAAACGAGGAAATATCGATAGTTTGGTGCGTGAAAGATGAACGTTTTTTCGTGTCTTGTCGCCCTTCTTCTCACTACAAACCAGTGGCATCGTTGGGCCCTTAAAAACCCGGAATTCGACTAGTGCCGATCTTGTTTATACCTGTGCTTTTTTGTTTATATTTTTTAGTTTTTGTGACTTGTGGAATATAGTTACTGTGTGAGATATTATATTTTTACAATTATTGGATTAAAATTTCTCTTTTGCCTATGCCGGTAAGTAGATTTTGTTGTAAACCTTTGGGCATTGATTTTTTGAAGCAGATTGTTAGATTAAGAGCAACATAAAACACTAATACACCACGGACGCGCGTTTCGTTATGTTAGCATCATCAGCAGATCATTAAAACCGCTTGTACAATGATTAAACCAGTTTTAATGATAGCCAAACATAAGTAAAGTGTTTTGGTGTATTATGTTGAATTAGTGTTTTATTTTGCTGTTGTACCGCCCAACTGTAATATTGTTAGATTAGATCTGCTAGAGGGTTTTAAGGGTTCTACGAGAGGTTTCACTCACACAATATGGCAAGCAGGGGCGCAACTAGACACATCCTTTTAGGGGGGTATAGGTCATATTAATAATTTGAGGTTGAAACCAATTTTATACGACCGACCCCCTAGTTGCGCCATAGATGGCCAGTAAACCTCTCACACGAAATGGCAAGTACGAGTATATGCCAATAACAAAATGTTTTTCAAGTACACGAGTCGTGTGAGTCTGGTTTTATATATTAAGATGGATTCTGACGACTCGTGTACTTGGCAAACATAACAAACATTTATTGTGCCTGACATACAGGGTCCGGCGATAGTGCGCCTAGCTTCTAAAACCACAGTTTAAAGAATATATACATAATTATATATTATATTTATATTCTTTAAACTGTGCTAAAACTTTGAAACTAAAGGCGCATTCTCACGACTCGTGTACCTGGCAAGTATTTTTTATTGGCCTACAGGGTCTGGCGGGAGTGCGGCGTAACTCCTATAATAAATAACTTAGAAATTCTGCATAGATGCCCGACACACCGTAGGGCACCGTGTATACCAATTACAAATGTTTGTCAAGTACACGAGTCGTGAGAATGCGCAAGAAATAGAAAAGCTTAAAAAACTAGAAATTTTGTATACCTAGATGCCCGACGCACTGTGTGATTGGCAACCTGTATGCCAATCGCAATTATTGTTTGCCAAGTACACGTGTCGTCTGAGCATACCATTTTAAAGGTATGATTCCGAAGACGGCGACAACGACAAGCGACCGCGACAGACGACAACGACAACGACAGGCGACAGTGTCGCTTATCGCTGTCGTCATATAATTGTCGATGTCGGCAACAATATGAGCGAGATCTACGATGTAGCTGTCAGTGTTTAAATGACGTTCGCGAAGTAGTTATAATAATTAATAAATATGTCTGATTACGTAATTGATAAATCTGTGTTACTTGAATTACTGATGGAGGATGATGAAGAGGACGAAATATTATTGGTACTCGTTGAAAAGAAGAGAAGAAAACCCATTTTACCTCTGTTTAAAAACAGATCTAGGGAAGGAAGTTATCCCTTAAGGTATGATTCCGAAGACGGCGACAGCGAGAGGCGACCGCTACAGACGACAACGACAGGCGACAGTGTCGCTTATCGCTGTCGTCATATCATTGTCGATGTCGGCGACAATATGAGCAAGATCTACAATGAAGAGGACGAAATATTATTGTTACTTGTTGCAAAGAAAAGAAGAAAACCCATTTTACCTCTGTTTAAAAACAGACCTAGGGAAGGAAGTTATTCCTTACTCATAAAAAACATTTATTCAGCGATAAAACGACTTTTAGAAGCTATTGTCGGTTAAATAAAAAGCAATTCAACTTTGTACTTAGTTTAATTGGTAACGAACTCTTCAACCTAAAACTAGTATCATAGAGAGTAGAATATTTACATACTAAATTAATTAATTTGTCTTCTTCCTCCCCGGTAAAATCCATTTTTTTTTCGTCTTCGGAATCATACCTTAAGCTGGACTCTGACGACTTGTGTACTTGGCAAGTACGCCAATATTTGCGTACTTGGCAAGTATACCATCTTTGGAAACAACATTTTTTTCATTTGTAATCAACAACAATCTGAGTGACAAATAATTATTGTAACCCACTCCCACAACATGGTAAGTATATGCCAATAACAAATGTTTGTCAAGTACAGGAGTCATGAGAGTCCGGCTTTATATGTATATTATGGCGCGCTCAGACGACTCGTGTATACTTGACAAACATTTGTCATTGGTATACAGGGTGCGTCGGGCATCTATACAGAATTTATGAGTTATGTATTATAGGAGCTACGCCGCACTGTCGTCAGACCCTGTATGCCAATAAAAAATACTTGCCAAGTGTCAAATACTTGCCAAATCTTTCTAAACAAACTTTTTTTTTTCATTTGTAAACAACAAGCTTGGCGTTCACGCGGCGCGACGGGTGACAAATAATTGCACAAGTAAACCACTCACACAACATGGCAAGTATATGCAAAATGCCAATAACAAATGTTTGTCAAGTACACGAGTCGGCTTTAGAGTTAAGCCTAGGGTTGCCAAGTTTCAAAATAAAAAATAGAGGATGAGAGGGTAGAAAATAGGCACAGGTTAAACATTTTTTGAAACCTCGCCCAAATGTCTAGAATTTGCCAAAAAGTTATGTCAGCGGTATGCGATTGATGGTCTTTCTTACTTTCTTAAAAATATTTATTACTCAAAACTTATTAAAATAAAATAAACCATTTTTCAACAAAACCGTTTTTCAAAACATAAGGCAACAGTAAGTAAACATAAAATAGTTAAAAATATTTATTCTTGTAGGTACATAAATAGTTCTTTATTTTCTTTTCTGTGCAAACGAGTGGGAGTAGCCAAAGACAACAATTTTTTAAAGCATTGTGGCCATAGACGAATATTTTTTAGATTTTGAGTTTGGTATGTAAAAAAGAGGACTTTTTAAATACATAACAGAAAAGAGGACAAAGAGAAGTGTCCTCTGGGATAGAGGACGGTTGGCAACCCTAGTTAAGTCCCCGGTTAGCTCTATACTCACTATTCGCTGGTTTACGAACGAATCAATGAATCACATCGACGACCCAAATCAGGGGATAGTGAGTATTATAGAGCCTTTGAGGGCTTTATACTCGGAGTTTTATAAACAATTTAGAGATTATCTATATTATTTATATTATCGTATATTTATTATCATCTAGCGTCATAAATTCTAATATGTTAATTATAAAATATCTTCGAAAATACCCCCAAAACGAGGTTATTTAATGTATAATTTATACCAAAATATTAATAATCTTTACGGAATTTTAAGTAGAGAACACGGAAAATATTTTAAGGGAATTTTCCAGGAATTTTGAAAGAAACAAAAAGGATATCCAACTAAACCGTTTTGAATAATTTATTACTTGCTTTGTGAAAAAATTGAGTGCTTTTGTTTTTATACTTTATTGAAAATATATAAATAAAGCCTGAGATAATAATTCTATAATCTAAATATTGGAATTTAAAAAACGTCAACATTTGACCGTATTCGTTTTGGTATTCGTCTGGGTATTCGTATCCGATTTTTTTAGGAATCGATCCATACCGTGCTTTACCAAGCTAGTTAATCTGTTTTTTTTACTTCCATCATAACAATAATTAGAGAATATACTCGAATATACGAAAATATCGTATGATCGAATAAAAACGGCGTTAGCGATGGCTATGATATAAAGATCGCTGTCATTTTACATGCAAACTAGCGTGTACCCGCGACTTCGTTCGCGTCGAATTAATTATTTGTAATGGTGATGATAAAGCACAACAAGAATTTCCATTAACATACAAACTGGATAAAATTTTCTCACATTTATGTCAGCATGAGAAAAAACAATATGGCGATATTATTTGTATAATTTGGTAATATTTGAGGGGTAGTTTCATCTCGTTGGAATTTGACTTTCGAAAAATCCGTTTCCCAAAAATAAGCTTTTTACGTCAAGCAGTTTAAGCAGAATCGTGGTTAATCAATAACCCAACTTTTTGGAACACCCTGTATGATTTTAAAAAAATTTTAAAATATGTAAAAAATCAAAATAAATTATGCGTGTCCAAGCGTTTTCCCGAAAGACTAACCGTTTTTTAAATAACAAATATTGTAATATTTGAGGGGCGTTTTCACCCCTTTGGAATTTGAGATTCGAGAAACCCCTCCTTATCGAACTTCTACACCCCACAGTCAGTCCGTTTGCCAAAAATCAGCTTTAAACGTCAAGCAGTTTAAGCAAAATCGTGATTACTCATTATTTATGAAACCTGTACAAATTTTTAAAAAATCCCAAAATATGTAAAACAACAAAATAAAATATACGTGTTTAAGAGTTTTTCCGAAAAATTCACTGGTTGTTAAATAAAAGTATTCTAATATTTGAGGGGTGGTTTCACCTCCTTAGAATTCGAGTTTCGAAAAATCCCTTCTTATCGAACATCTACACCCTAAAGGCAATCTGTTTTCCAAAAATCAACTTTTTACGTCAAGCGCTTTAAGCAGGATCGTGATTAATCAATGACCAGATTTTTCGAAACACCCTGTATACATTTTAAAAAAATCTTAAAATATGTAAAAAAACAAAATAAAATATAGTTGTTTAAGCGTTTTTCGGAGACTTGACCGTTTTTTAAATAAAAAATATTGTAATATTTGAGGGGTGGTTTCACCCCCTTGGAACTGGAATTTCGAAAAATCCCTTTTTATCGAACCTCTATTCTACACCCTAGAATCAACCTGTATGCCAAAATTGAGCTTCTTACGTTGAGTGGTTTGAGCAGGATCGTGAATAATCAGTGAGTCAGTCACTAAGGATTTTATATACATATATTATAGTACGTCTGCCCGTTCTGTAGCTACGGGGTATACGTGAGAGGGGAAACGATATTCTCTCTATGTTTTTCGTAAAAAATTAGACGACGCGTCCCGTCAATAAAAATTCGACAAATTTGCAAGTAGCCAATAAAATGAGTGGGCGGAGCGATTTGCGGTGACGTACTCGTCAAGTCGACGTATAAAATATATTGCTGTTTATTTAAATGTTTTTGTCCGCATTCCTTTCATAGACACAGATCCAGCAGACGTATTGTAGTATAGATTTATATGGGAAATGTCATCGATTGTCATCGGATTCATAGCCATCGCTGACGCCGTTTTTATTCGATCATACGGTATAAAAAATTAATACAACTTATAGTTTACAGATTAGTAAGTAAACTTTGTCTATATGAGACGAGACGTTTTTTTTTCTGTCCTTGTAGCAATATTGCTTTTTAATAGGTAAGTACGTAAGGAATTTTAAAATAAATTCAATACTTTTTGTGTTACACGTGGATAAATATTATACTATATTGATAAATAGATAAGTTTTTATTTGTTGCCAAATATAATGATCCCTAGAAGCGTGCAAAAATGTCACAAGAAAAAGCAATAGAAATACATACCTCGAGAAATACTACTTAAAACGAGAGTTACTAATAAAAATTGGACTTGAATTGGATAATTTCTTGTCATAATTGCTTTACATTGTATTTTTCCTCGATTTTTGCACAATTCGTATTGAAACGTTTGAAATAAGGAATGTCGTCGACAACAGAAAAAATGTTCCATTCTCCATCGTTCGCTATTATTTGTTCTAGAGAAGGAAGCTATTCAGGGCCGACCCAGGCGGACGCTCGCAACGGCACGTTTTTCGAAGAAATGTGAAGAAAGTACCTGAGGTCTTAAATCAAAACACCTGCCTGGGCGGGAGAGAGGCCATAACTCTCTTTCTAACTGCATACTTAGCTAATTTTAGGTTTGAAAATGTGTGTTGTTTCTGTTGGAATTGTATTTGTTACAGTAAAAGTTGGAAATCAGTGATTGTTAAAAATTACTAGTAAAAAAGCTCACATTCACTGATTTACTAAGACTACGCCAGTAAAAATTCAACTGCAGTTTTTGAAACCAACTTTTACTAGTGAATGCTAACATTCCCTGGACGATGGCAGTGAGTTTGAAAGATTCAGTTAGCGCGGTTGCCATATGTTGTAAAATATAAGAATAAATAAGGATAAGTTGAATAATAGGGCAATATAAGGATAACATTAATTTGGGCTAAACGTTGGCAACGTTGACGGACATCTGGCGTAAATCCGCATTGTTTTTTGTGTGGTTATGTATAATAGTTTTGTTATCGTTGTAAAAAGTGCTGTGCGGTATTTTCCCTATGGAAGAAATTTTCTGTGAAAAAATAAGCCAAACTAAGCATTCGCAAAAATGTAATAATGCTTGTTTTTCATTTTTGCAATATAATGAAATCATAGTAAAAGTTAAGTGTGCAAGAGAAAAATATATTAAGGAACCTATTAAACGTTTTGATATGCTTAAAGTAGCGGGTTTGAAAAAACGAATAACTCCCGTTGAAGAAAATTCGAGCATACTGTATTTTGTCCACGGTGAAGAACTTTATTAAAAAAACACCTTGTACCAATAAGTAATCTTATGTTTATAAATGTTTTTATTTAATTGTTTTGTACACTTCAAAATATTTACTATGTTTTCTCTTTTGATATTTTTAGAAGGGTATCGTTATTTTCTATAATTTTTAATAAATATACTAAAGAAGTAAATTGTAATTTTGAGATATGTGGATCAGCTTGAATATCGAGTTGATCCAATATTCTTAAAAGTTTTATTTGTTCTAACTTCCAACAACAATCTTCCTCACGACAGTCGCCCTGTACAACAGAATAACTTTTACTGGCAACCTTTAGTAAATGTTACTTTCACTATATATAGTGAATGTTAGAAATTACTAGGAAAAGTCGACAAATCTCTTTAAAATACCACATTTACTGGTCCAATGCGTAATTGTTAGCATTTCCTAGTGAATGTTAACAATCACTGAATTTCCGACTTTCACTGTAACATATTCAACGAATAACAATAATGATAAATAATATTAATGCTCGATTTTTTCCTACCCGGCTTTGATTTGCACTGACCCCACTGAAATGTCACTACTGTACCAGAGATCATACAGATTATAAACTTTATTTTTTCTTTATAGTTTTTCGTGGTTCCAATTTTCGGAATCGGGTACTAGTTAGGTTACTAGTTTGCGCACATAGCACTCCCACTTATGGCCTCTAAAATTGTGCATAGCGCCTGACCGGCACAGTTATTAGAGAGATATCGGAAAACCGAATAGCGTCATGCAGTATTTACGCGTACCTTATCATGGTTACGATATGCGCGAGTCAATTTTTAACGGAACACCCGCTAATAACGTTACCGCCTGACGTAATTTGCGGATCAATTACACCAAGCGCTATTTCAAAATAACGTTTAAAAATTGCTTAAATGGGTATGTGCGGGTACATTTGACAACCGGGGCCGGCCGGCGAGCGGCGAGATCTTTTATTTTAGGTTATGTTTGAATTGCTTTGAATTATTACTTTAGTTTTATTAGGTAATTTGATATTTAAGTAGCTGGGATTAGTTTTAATTAAATAAATATGGTCCAAAATATGGATTCTACCTCTTCCAATATTAAAGAACCTATAAAGAGGCTTAGGTTTACAGCAGATGACGACTTAGCCCTTCTAAGAGAATTAGTTGCTTGTTGCCCTAAACCCACTGGTAGACGTTGAACAATGAAGCACTGGAAATAAGCACTTTAGCACTTTAGTTTTAAAATACCTAGTATACAAAACAATTTCAAAGTTTTAAATTCAAAGTTAGGTTAAGTTAAATAGCGGACGCGACGCGAACAGAATTCTTTCCGATCCGATAACTATAAATGAAGAGAGTTAATACCACCTCACGTAAAGGAAATAACATCTGGCCTTATTAACGTCCATGCACGCTATGCGGTTTAGCAATATCTCTCTATTACGCTGTTTATTGTTATTTTACGCGAGTTTATTTTTGCGCACAGGAAATTTTACTCGTTTGCACATCGTCATAAAAACAATTTTCGTACCACGAATTAGGGATAAGATTTTTATCTGTATACATAGAGTATACCTAATCTGTGGTTGTACCAACAAGTATTTAAAACTTTTCTAGGTTTAATTATTTCTCTGAAGTTAATATTGAAAGTTTATCGCGACATGTAATTATCCTGTTTCTTCGGCTTGTGATATTTGCAGACTTGCTCTGGTAAAGATGAAAATTTTAATTAAGTAGAATTGAATAATTCATCCTTTCCAGTTCTGAAATGTACACATAATTCTGTCAGGTTTGCCTTGTAAGGCTGTAATTATATTTCATACAGTCAAACAATTATCGAATTGTTATGGATCTCCGAGTGGATCTCCCTACAGATTAAGATGCATAATATTAATTCATTTTTCTCTGTAAATTACGTATTATAAAACTAGTCTTGGGCCACCTGAAATTTCTTAAATGAAGGATCCAGGGAAATAACTTGATAAACGCCAATTTCTTAATTTTAGGATATTACAATATTATAGTAGATCCGAGAGTAGATCTAACTGGTCCCTACAAAATGTATACCTATACTCTGCAGGGCAATAAGTTGTTTAATCCTGTGATATATGCCTAGTAAATATAAATATACAGAAAGAACCTGATAACCATCAGCTGTGCGGTGCTCTCCTGTAAAATTAGTAAAATGGCGCTTATCATGTTTTTCCGATGGACCCTTAAACTATTTTAAGGGTGGTAGATCTCGATAAAATAAATATAATTTTATTTTTTATTTTTCATTTTCCAAATAAATCAAAAGGAGTTAAGAGTAAGTTTAAGAGTTACTTCTCGAGTTACTTTTGAGTTTAAAAGTTAAAAAAAGATGTTCACCTCTCCGTTTGACTTTTGAAAGGAGGCTGTACACATGGTGTACACCAAGAACGGTAAATTAATAGGATTGCTCATCCTCATAAGACGTACGTTCGCCTCTTCCCGCGCTTCAGCTGACAGTTGTGACGTCATTGTAGTCCTTGTCATGATAGTGTGTATTATTAGTTGCCTATGGTAAACTTATAAAAATAACAGCTGAGAAATTTTGAGTTAATTATTTTGTCAATTTTAATTATGAAAAAGGTGTTTTTAAAGTTTTTAGAGCTATAGAGTGTATAAATACGTTCATTTTGTGTTGTGGATTGTCACAAAGTGCTTACTAAGTGCCTACGATATTGTTTATTAATTATTTTAAAGCAAAATATGGAAGTACTCTAAAAAGAATGCCTGCAAAAGATGATGCTGGGAACTGCTGTTCTTAAAAATGCATTATCCGAGTATTTAATACGATTTATACATTTAATTTTCTATACTGCATACATATAAGGTGTTTAAATAAATAAACAAAATAATGAACGTTTTGCATCCGGCAACCAATAATGCACGTGTGTGTATTATTGGTTGCCGAATAAGGACTAATAACAATGACAAGGACTACAATGACGTCACAAAGCGAGGAGTTTTCGCATGCACCTGGCAGACACTTTTGGCTGAATGAGCAGTCCTATGGTGTACGCTACAGGGTGAATCAAACTCACAATACTATCGACTTTCTCAAAAATAGTTTTTTGAGAAAGGAGTTTTTTTCGAGATTTGTGTGATGTCAAGCTGTTTCGGAGCGAAAAAGAACCCGAACTGGGCGTCGCTTTGTGTTGTGACAATTTCAAATGTTAATCAAATTGTCGAAAAAATGTTAACACGTAAAGGAGAGCGTAATTAGGGCGTTGTTGGGTGCAATAACATTCAATAACTCAACGTTCCCTGATATTCAAATCTCCCCAAACAACTTTTTATAGCTTCACAGCTTCTCACCGATTTGATCAAAAGCAAAAATGAATTCAAGCAGTTCGACAAAACAAGTCAGTAAACAAAGTGCCCATTACATAATCAAAAAATTAAATATAGGCATATACTATGAGAGGATAAATTATAATTTGCAATATTAACGGTATACTTGTTTTAATCAACTAGTGCTCAAATTTTTTATGAACATCTTCAGAAATTGTAATTATGTACCTTTAAAAAAATTCCGAAAAATTCTTTATAACCGAAATCGCCCCAGTTATGTCTCCGCTAGCAAAATCGGTGCTTAAAACTATGCTAACTACCGTAGTTGAACTCTTCTAAAAAGTTTTATTAGCTTGAATAATAAATTATAATACAAGTGAGACCTTCTGAACATATCAAAATATTTACTTCTTTATTTTTATTTTTAGAAATTTTCACAAATTATACTTTGTATTTAAACTCGTATACAGAGTGGTCCAAACTGTATTCCGGAAACTTCGGCAGCATATTCTGCAGATAAAAATAAGTAAAAAAGTTCGTATAAATGTCTGTCCTAAAATGCTTAGTTTCGGAGACACAAGGTGTAGAAGTTTCATTTTTATTTCGATTTTTTCCAAATAATTTCTGAAGTAACGTCAATATTTCAATGAAAATTGTTGTCTGGGAGTTTTGTGACACGAGAAATTTGATTTTGATGGCAAAATGACTCCTATTTGTAGGGGGCGCCACCTACATGTGTTTTAACTGTTTTGAAGAGTAATAACTTTTCGTCCGTACCGGTATAAAACTACCGACTGAAAAAATATACATTTCCATGAGTTTTTACGTAAAAATGTCTCTTGGTAAAAATCGATTCGAGTAACCGTTCTCAAGATATTTAGAATGGAAATAGTCAATACATGCCATTATTAACGAAAAATAAACACATTGAATAGATAGTTATTTCACTGAAATAATAAACTTGGGAAATTTTTATTTTTTTAAATTAATCATATTTTTTCTGCAAAAAAATGATGATAAAACAATTTTTGTTGAACTTTTGGTACAAAAACAT